AGTATTTATTGTTTTGTTAGATTGATGCCGTTAATATCGGCCTCTCAGAATGACAGATTAGCATCACCTCCTAATCAGCGCTATTAGGAGATAAATATCAGTAATTTAATCACTACAGCAATTTCTTTTACAATAATAAGATTTACAAATGTAAGCGATTAAGTAATTAGCTCACATCTCTGAAGATTACAGTCCTCTGGACTTTAGCGCGTCTGGTTTTCTGAAGATTACACAATTTCACTTCAACCGACTGCCTTCATTTTTGTGAATGAGATCTGTACTTGACCAAAGCATAAAGCAATTTGAAAATGACCCTCGAATTCCTTCGAGTCATTTGTTTTTTTCTTAAGTGCGCTATTTTCCGAGTGGCCACGCAGCACAAGCACTGCACACAAGGGAGATGAATGGCTTGCATTTATTTCAACTGAAAAATTATATACACTTGATAAAATAAAGGCTGGCTGTTAAATGATATATCTAAACAGTTATCAAGGATTTCTTTGTTGCTGGGAGAATAGCGGCCCTTGGGCTACCCGTGATTTCAACATTCTTAAGCTCTACCTTTTTTTTTTTTTATTTACAAAGTAATTTATCGGTTAGTGTTAATTTCCTAAATGCAACATAAAAGGAGCGCAGTGCGGTGAGAAAAAAAATTAAAGGGGAAAATCATAAAAACAGCAGAGAATCGGCCAAATTGCTTCCATGTGTCTGTGGCTGCCAGAGCTAAAGGAAGCAAGGCACTGTCTAAATGCCCCTGACCCGCCGAGACTGGGCCAATTCAGTTTGAAAGGCCCAGCTCTCTAATGAAGGCCTAATTTTTATTGCCACTCCATTGACTTCAAAGCAGTTCAGGTTGCCAAACATAATTTCACTGGAGGTATTTTCAGGTGCACTGCAAATAGTTCATAAATAATTTCCCCATTAGTCCAGGCGATGCACTTTTTGGGTGAATGTTTCGTCTGTTCTGTCCCTGCCACACCACTCCCTCCTCCTGGCCTCGACACCACCACTACCATCAACACACCGAGAAATAGCCCCGCATCCTTCCTCAATCCCTGCACCCCTGTCAGCCCTAACCTTAGTCCTTTAGGAGCTTAAGGAGTCAAATACCATTTAGTGGCTCTGTGAGTTTTCTGTTGAAGCAGTGAGAAAGGCTGGCTATTACTCGGCTCTGTCAATCCTTTAAGGAGCCCCACAGTCAGGGATACACAGCTTCGCCATTACAGGATTAGTGAATTAAAATAAATCCAGCCTGAAGAGGCCCAATCACCATTGGCTTATTGGTTGTGACCATGCTGCCACTTTGAATGGCTACCTGCTTTAGTGCACATTAGCTCAAACATTCCCACAATCTGCCCGGCTGACCAAAAGGTGTCCAACTCCGGTTGATTTATATAAATTCCACCTGTAAGATCTCTAAGCATTTGAGTCACAAAGAAAAATTAAATAATTTAGTCAGTTTTACTAAATTATAGCATTTAACTCAGTTTTGATCAGAAAGCCTGGCATATATTAACATAAGAAATGGGTACTAAGCTTGCAACATTATTTAAGTTACACTAAATTTACATAATTATGCCTCCTTCAATGTTCGCATTAGTTCAGTATGATCATTAACAATGCTACCCTTTAAAAGTTTTCGAAGGCACCTCTCCAAAATGTGGTCTATTCTGTCAAATCAACATTTTAATGGATAGTGAAAGCCTCCCAGGATCCAGCAATCACAAGACTAATTCAAAACAAACTAATAATAAAAAAAAGAATTGATGCCATCAAAGCACATGTGTTTCCCATTTGCATTCTCAGAGAAGTAGTGGAATCTTGCGGGTCCATGCCTCGACTTAGCAAGCCGTTAAACCACTTTTTTTTTCAGTCCAAGTCTTTCTAAAGAACTTCATAAAAAAAAGAGACTGTGAGCACTTTTTGATAGGCAATAACGCACAGAAAGCTCCGAGATGAGTTGGACAGCTCTGTAATCGACTGGGCACCGAATCCCACAGACAGGAATACCAAGCTGCGTGCCCATTAACCACCCCTTCCCCCCCTCACAACAACCCACATTCGTCCCCCTTTTTTACATTTCGATGCTATTATTGTTCTATAATTGCATTTCCTTCCCTGCAGCAGACCAAATTCTTTGAAGTGGAAAAAATGGAACACTTCTTTATTGTAAGCAGGCAGGTATTTTGCAATAAACTGGGCTGTTGTCATTGTACAGCTAACACGCTTAATGGGAAAACGGGCCATAAATCACAGCAGTGATAACTGATTACTCTCAGCTCCTCTTCCTCTCGCTCCTCTCTTATTTTTGTTCTCCACCGCTCAGTTTATCTGACACTCCCCCGTCCCACGCCCAGAATGCTGCGGTAGGGCTGAAATGCGGGATCGTGCGTGGCATGAGACTTCAGTGTTTGGTTTGTAAACAAGCAGTTGCATTGAAATGTTTTTTCGTTTTAGTTCATATGGGTGGTATTTAAAAATGTTCTCTTTTATTTAAAATGAAATCAGAACATGTGCACTTTTTACTTGTGGTGTTTATTTATGAAGTAATAATTAGCCGCCACTATAATTTTGGGAAATTGTGCTTGCTTGGGTTTGTATATTATGAAACATTTTTTCCTCTTACTGTTATGTGTTGCTTTATCCTGTTGTTAATATAGTAAGTAAGCTGACCATCACTCAGGACAGGATAATATTAATAACAGTGTTCCTTGGATTCATTATGCTGCTATTGAACTATAATGATGGTGATATTAAATCTCTATTATGACCACGGTGTGCTTTATTTTACTGATCTGTTGGTATAAACACTCACTTACACTGTACCTAACTTGCTTAAAATATTCCCCCAAGCTACTTTCTGTACCATATATATATGTATATGGACTATATGTATGGACAGCTGCTTCTCATACTGCTGCTATGTTTGCCTGTGTTTGAGATCTGATCAATAATAAAAGACTGATGTGTCTCTTGATTCATGACTACAGCCACCCTAATTCCCTTACACACACAAACCTTCATTAATGAGTTGTTATTGGAAGAAAGAGAGCCCTCGGTATCTGTTAAACACACATGGGTCTTCTTAATGAGCCCTCTCCCAACACACACAATCGTCTCTGTGTCAGCTCTTGGGCATAGTCCTACCCCAAGATTCTAACCCGCACTTCCTAAAACACGATGGAGGAGAGCCATTGTTCCGCTGCTTTAGGTGAAAATGTTCTTATAGCTGAAAACATTACCTTAACCGTACCTTTGGTTCAACGGCACCTCTCATGTTCCTTGAAGGAAAATGAAAAGCATCTGCTTCAGCTGCTGGGGAATTATTCCTCTCTACTGCTGGGATTGAATAGGTCCTTGAGTCGGTTTGATTTTTGATGGATGGAGATATGTCCAGACTGGCTCTGTGTGCTCTTGCAGGCCCTAATCCAGGCCCCAAGAGGCCCCTAGCCATGTCCTTTATCCAATTCAGCCAACTTCCAACAGGAAATGAGGGCTTCAGGGGGCACTGGTAAGGAGACAGGACACTGAGTCACATGGAGGGCCACAGATACACTGCACACCAAGAGCATTTGTGAAACAAAAGAATGCACTGATAATATTCAGTGGATCGCTAATAGAAAACAGGGCAGCTGCCAAAGAAATACTTTCTTTCTTTCTTTCTTTCTTTTTTTTGTTGACATAAATCAGTTTGTCTGAACCAGACATGAAGAGCTCCAAATTTCCATCCAGGAATTACTTTCACTCAGCTCTGGCTAAAAAAATAATAATAATAAAAAAAATAAAAAAACAGAAAAGAAAAGAAAAAGAAAAAAAAAACCATTTTGAGTTCAAAGAATCCTTAAAAAGTTTGGGGGCTTTTGTCTTGTGAAAAGAAACCCGTCCGTAGCGGAGGCAGCCATTAGATGTTCCGGACATAATTAATCAGGAAGAGCAGCACGACACTGATCTGCATCAAACACTCCCCATTTCCAGATATCTCCTCCAGATTTTCCACTAACACTTTCTAATCATAAATAATCACACACAAAAAAGACTCTCAATTAGATTAGTCTCCAAAGTCCTGGCATTACAGGGGGAAAAAGACATTCCTCTGGTCCTTCGCTAACTTTCAAGCTAAAGCGTAATTGCTCTCTGGTGACTTCATGCCAGTTGCAAGCTCGGGGTTTAAATTTGCCTTATTAGGGGTTTGCAGAGCTGCATGGATTGAGTATATTGAGTTTAGACTGTCTACTATGAAAGGGAAGATTGGAATCATCCAGTATATGGAGATTAAATTGGCCCTTGTTTTGATTATTGTGCGACATGTTGTGAAGTTATCGTCTGTAACATAATGATGTCTGGAATTTGTGCCCAGAGTTTTCCATTAGTTAGGCAGTTTTTCAGGGAAAAAGCTCCAGTGAGTAACAGACAGTCTTAAGATGCCTACTGAGAGGTTTTTATGATGTTGTAGCGGCATTTGATATGTTTTTCAACTTGCATCTTTAATCAATACGACTGACCAATACAGTGGTTTGCTTTTGAGAAAAGAAATAAAAATCGCCTCTTAGTGCGTCCGCTATGCTTTCACTTAACATCGCCAAAAAGGAAAGAGAACTGAAAACATCGATTACAAATGACAGTCCTGTTGCTGGAAATTGTACTTTGCTACAACCACAGCAAACCAGTTATGACATTGCATATCACAAGTCAGAAACTGTCCTCAAAAGAATAATGGCAGCATCAGTCATTTCAGCAAGTGCCATTAAAACAACATATGTTTACGTTCAAGCGGCTAAAGCTTTTCAGAAGCTATTATTTTAGAGACTAATCAGGGCAGACGTCAGCGTGGATGGATGGGTTTTTGTTTGCGCATGTATGAGAATGATGGTTACATAACCTTTTGTTATGTTTTTATTTTTATTTTGTTTGAGCCAGTAAAGGGGAACTTTTGGGGTTACAAAATATTGTTTTTTGCAAAAATGATGCGCTGATCAATTGGCCTGGAACTGGAATTGGCTGATCAGTGACCGGCCGGCCCCATTAATTTCGTGAACATGCAACATTTATGCAAAGTGATGCTGACTCATAGCCACATGCTAACATGCCATCAGCGTAGAAGATCTATACTGTGAGTGAAGACCCAAAGTTCACCAGAGTAAACCTCAAGTGGACCACCATGAAAATGTTCATAACAGCAAACCGAAAAAGACATCTCCCAGCTGACCATGGATATTTTAAAGAAGCTAACAAAGGTAAAGTAGCTAAAGCTAAAGCTAGCAGTTAGCAGCAAAGAATGAAAGCAGTTATGAGGAAAATTACAGTGATGAGTGAAAAAACAAAAAAGGTTTGTTGACAGTTAAAGTTATAAACATACTAGAAAATTATGTAAGTAACTGATTGTATTTGTTATGTTACATAAATCTACTGAATCTGCACTTGTTTGATATGGTAAAATATAGTAGCTAAAGGTGCGCGTGCAGGAAGTCATTTTGAGTTAATTGTTTCTTCCCAATAAAAAAGAGTTCTTGGAGCTTAGGAGAAATTGTAAAGTCTATGATCGTTTCTTTTTCATGACAAAAATATATTTTGCAATGAATAAAAGTAGATTTTTACTTACATATGCTGTTAGCTATAGTTTTTAGAATTAAAATCACCATCAGCAGGTCACACAGGAAAAATGCCAGAAACTGGAATCAGAAATGAATATTGCAAATCAGTTCATCTCTAATATGAGGGTATTTTTAATTCATTATCACTACATATGATTTGAGATGCCATTACTAGGAAGCGCGTGAACATGGATGGGACCTACAACATCATGTCCCCAGATCCCATCAGCAATAATAGGAGTGATTGGAGTGTTTGGAAGTGGTGTGGGATACTTACTGCCTGGTAAAGGAATCAAGGAGTCACTGCACTGAAAGGAATTCTTTTCCCCAATCCCCAGATTTTTGTTTCTTCTTATGCCAACTGAGATTACTGCATGAGGGTATTTCCCCCTGCATCAGCCCCCCAAGTGAAAGAAATTGCATTGACCTCTTCTATCTATTGCTTCCATATGCGAGCAGTTATCTCTCTTGCAAATGGAAATGAGACCCAAAATTGCAACAAATGGGGCCATGCCACTGAATGCAGATGTTCTCTGCTCCTCGCCCAGAGTACACATGCCCGATCAAATTAACTTTAACCCCTCTGCCGACAGAACAGACAGCTCTTTTACAAACTCTCCACTCCAGCAATTTGTTTTGAGTCGAAGCCCAGGGAACAACTGTATGTCCGCATGAGGTAAATAAGAAGTGATAGTATCAAACACCTGGATTCAGTGTTACCCCACTGGAGGGGCCGAGGCTTCTAAGTCTTCCCCTTCCTATGCAAGGGCCATGTTGGCCTCCTGGTCACTTTCCTCTCATTGCATTTTTCTCTACGCAGGCTGTGAGGAAAATTTTGACTGAGAACACCTGCTTGTGGGGTGATTCTAGGAGGTCGAGGCTGAGGAGCTACAGCGATGGAGGGATGAAAGAACCACGAGAGAGGGGTTGAGGGGGAAGACCGCGAGAGGCTAACAGGTGCTTCCTCTATGGGACTCTGGGAAAGAAGACGACTGGTAATGTATGTAAATGAGAGCAGACTTTGCGTGCCCATATCCCTTCATGAAGTCCCTCTGTCTTTCTCTCTCTCTACTCCCCCGCCTTCTGAATAATAAGAAAGTCCTATAAAAGTGGCCTCACAGATAATTTACCAAATTGGTTAAATGTTGCTGAGAGCCTGGAGTGTTAATATGCTTCCATTCAGAGCAGGCAGAGGTCATCGGAGTCACTGGTTACCAGGAACCAGACAGAAACACAACAGCACTCTGATGATCCCATCCCACACAATGCCCTTTAGGGTTGTTCTGTAATGACCAGCATGTCTGAGCACATTTACCGCAACATACATCTACACCGGGATATGAACTGTGTTTTGTTTACCCACACATACACACTTTTGGAATGACCTACTATTGTTGATGGCTGTGTTCTTTATCTTTGGGTCATTTTGTGTGTGTTTTTCTTGCATTCATTCATTCATATACGTATAATTCTATAGAAAACAAATTTTTATTTTCTTTTGTGCCTGCCACCATCTGCTCCCCTTCAGGGACAATGATTATGGCTAATGAGTGTTTCCAAGCCCAGTCCCTCATCTATCTCAACAGACCCAAAACACAGAACATGTCCCTGCTACTTCTCCGCACATAGCCCCCTTTTGCCTCCACACATCCATCTCTCTTCCTCGCCCTCTCACACACAGCAGCAGCAGCAGCATCACGGCGGCTAAATCCATCCCATCATTTATAAGGCTGTCAGCTTAAAACACACACATATTACATATATGTAGAAGGCATGCCGAACTGGAACATACAGGTGCTAACTTATTTAGCCGGGTCTGTTCCTGGTCCAGGCTAATGAGGAGCAGGTGAGTGGCTGTTGCTTTAATCAAGTGGAGAGTGGGCCGCGCACAGATTTGCAGCTTGTTGAAAGGCCAGTCGTACACATGGGCTTCATTATGGGGTTAGGGGAAAATCAGTCAGGGACAATTGTTTTCCCACTCCTGCTGCTAAAGCGAAATACTTTTCTGTCTTTAAGTCTCATGCACACACAGACGACTCCACACAGAAGATGATAGTTTCCAACTCGCCTGCACTGGAGAAGAAGTAAATCCAGTGTCTTCCCCAAGTGCCTAATACAGGCACGAGTCAGTGACTCATCAGCGAGGATAGGGTATTATCAGCTTTGTTAGATGTTGCTAAAGTCAAGTTAAGCATAATATGCAAAGAAAAAAGATGCTTTTTTCAGTTATATGCATAAGTAAAGTCCTGATGTGTGGTCGTCTGAACTCAAAATTTAATTCATGAGTAAATGTAGGTAATATTACAGTAGACAGTAACAGCTCTGCAAAGATGTTAATTTTCTGCAAAATGTTTAGGCTGATTTATGGCACGAAGCAGGGGCTTCAAACAAACCACAAAGAGGACTGGCTAAAAGGAATTAACGCGCACATCTGCAAATGCTGCATCTTGTTAGAGTTGGGTGATTAAACAGTCGTTAAAGCTGCTCCGATCGATGCATTCTCAACAAAAGAATTGCAGTTGTTTCAGCATAACACGAGAATATCCACCACGCGTACAATAAAAGGAAACTAAATGACTGAAGATGTCTGAATTTGGTAACTTCTTCTGAATACAGTTGCGCTTAGAAGCAAAAAAAAAACCCCAGTGATAATAGAGCCGTATATTATACATACACTATAAGGTGTGTTTTGTTGAAGCTGGTTTAGCTAGCATGTAGGTAACACAATATTTTACTTGTTCCTTCACCTGGAGGAAGGTGCGCAACTTCCTTACTGCTCTCTGACACCAACTGCAAATAAAGCTGAACAAGAAGTTTCCTTTTTTTCATGATTTCTTTGTGTTTCTGGAGAGCACGCCGGACAGATGAGCGTCAGACCTGTCTGTGCGGCTCAGGTCATCACCAAAGTCATCAAAGTGGAATGGTGGTGGCTCTGGCTAAAAGGAAATTTATGTCAAAACATATATCTAAAGTGACTCCGTGACAAATTCTGCAAGTAGATTTGTCACACTATGAATCAAGATTATAGTGTCTAAACAAAAGGGAAAATATATATATGTTGGTGGGCCACAAAGAGCCCTTTGTGATTTATGGATCACTGGGGAGGTATAAAAGCACATTCACACAAATTATTCTTACAATTCAGACAAATGAGCAAATAAGTCTATGTTAGCCTTGATGGGAATATATGACTGTTTTAAGGAGCTACAACACGGAGCCCCCACATTTCTAGTTTAAATGGAGTGACTCTCAAGAATTATGATGTTAAAAGGTCTAGCGTGGAACTGAGGAGGCCTGTGTTTAAAAAGTTAACATCTGCGTTTGATGAATGAAGGTACGAAACTGTTATAAATATGTCGCGGCTGGAAGTAAACAGTTACTTTAGTATTTGACAAATTAAGATTTGATTTGCAAATTTATTTTTAGATTTATTAGATGAGTTTCCTGGTTATATTGCCACAGGAAATACACGTATAAATTGAGAAATTCTGCTTTAATTTGAGGTCTAATTTTTAAAAAGTTGCTGTGTCAAATTGTTTCTGAAGCGCATCTTTTTTTTACTGACTTTAGTTGAATATAAAATATAGTCACTGAGTTTATTTTTTTCAGACAAAATACAGAAAATATAAATAAAACCCACAGAGGTAAACTCCAGCCTTCTTGTTCTTTTTTTTCCTCGTGCTGGTTCCTTAAAGATTTCCCATCATCCCAGCTCCCACACACTTAGCAAGGCCACAGAGCTTATACCCAAAGCTTCTTCTCATGCAAACCGCATAATTTTTTTCTGTTTACCTTAACAAACTTAACTTCACATTCAGTGTTTTTACGTCTTTAATATTCACAAGAGGGACGTGTAAGGCAGAGTTGGCTTTCTGAGTCTAAACTTTAATGACTACCTGGTACTTAAAAATCATATGCTTTCTTCTGCACTTGAACTTTCTCGGGTGAATTTAAAGGAAGAGCGTGTGTGTGTGTGTCCAAAGGTGCGTGTGTGCGTGCGTGTTTGACGATCTCTGCGTGGCATCGTTGAAAAATTAAACTCGACCCAGCACCGCATCTGCAAGACTTCTAGTGAACTTCGGAAGGTCATCTCCAAGTAAGCACAAGGCCTGGCTTTGCATAAAACTCACCGGCTGATCTGTGACAAAGCTGCTTAATGTGTCACTCTGCTGACAGCCTCCCATCAGTCCTCATCAAGTCCAGCCGTGTCAAAAGTGTCAGCTGGAGTCTCTCACCATACACTGACACCCCTGCCATATGAAAGCAGGTGACAGGAGGAGTTACTGTCACTGAGGAGGGGCTGTGAACTCTCATCAACCCCTCTGGCTGCTGTTACCACTGCGCAAAGACGCGATGACGAGAAGCGCTTTTGGGACAGTCACTGGCGCTGAGCACGGGGCAACTGGGAGCATTTTTGGCTTTTCTAGCAGAAGTCTCTCCTTGGAGACAGGTGGCTGTTACAGCCTGCACCTGCAGGGTTGCTCTGGGCAGGCACGGCGATGTGAAAAGAACCTTTGACCCCTGACCCTAACATTGCACGAGAAAGTAAAACAGGGGTAGCAGAAAATGACTTCACGTCTGATGAAGAATTTGAAGTGGGAAGCGGGAAAACGAAGGAAAAGTAGCAGTTAAACTGATTCTCGTGAGTTGTGTTGGGAGAAATTTGATACCTGTGTAACTCTTGGTCTTTTTTGTGTGAAAGGGTTGCGTGGATTTATTCTTGTATCATTGCACTAAAGGGAGAATTACTTGCAAAACGAAATGGTATATATTTATGCTGCTAACATCCAGCTTAACATCATCATCATCTTAGATTGAGCTGAATGACAAGGAGCTGAGCCGAACTCTGATTGTGACTCTCGGTTGCCGGTAGGTGCAGCTGTAGTTCAAGCCAGCAAAAAAAGAGACGCCAGTCCGGGGGCTGGTGGTGAAGGGGAGGAAGAGGGGATAATGTATGGTCTGACTTAAATTAGAGCTAATTGAGGGATGATATTAACAGACCGTGAAATTTTTTGGAGAGCCGTTTTGGAGCTAAACCCTTTGTACCATAAAGGAACTGAACCACTTGGCAACAGACATGTTAAGGGGGACACTGGGAAACATTTTCCCTGGTATCCCATCGAAGCTGATCAGCTTTCCAAGTACTGAGAGAGAAAACAGACGCTGTTTGATTAGTCAGAATAAGAATCCAACAGATGCTCGGTTGCAGAGGAGAGCAAATGAATCTTGACTGGAGGAAACTCCCGCAATTGTTTCTTATCACATTTTGTTCCATCTACTGTTGTATCATAGTGATTGTTTAGCTTCACGCTGTGGATGAACAAAGATGTTGGAAGGTCTTGGTGCACGTCAGGTGGAGTTCTTTGAGCTCCTTAGAGTAGGAAGTTTCACCAGCGGGGTCTGCTAGTCATATGAGCTGCTCTACTTCCTGTGGCTACAACCATGTTTTCTGTTTGGCTGTTGGCCCTCTTTGCACAGTCCTGCATGATGTATAACGGACCGAGTAGCAGAGTGTCTGTTCATGCTTCTACACTTGTGTGTGCCCGCCTGCCCGGCAGACCATAAAGCTGTCTCAGCTTAAGCAGTGATTAATACGCCCATCACTTTCTAAATGCTGCCTGCCTGTTCTCCGGCCTCGGCCTCCACAGAGTAGACCAATGTTTGCCTTTCCCAAAGCACCCTCCCTTTACGACAGCGCAGGGTCAGAGGGAGAAAAGAAGCATTCTTTAATTTGATAATTAGTCTGTGGACTCTTTGGGGTGAAAGAAAAGGATTGGCCTCATTAGCTGTAATTGTCTAATTGCCTTTCATCTAAATAGTCCCTAATTTTCACTTCATGGATTATACAAATACCATAAATGCACCTCTGTGTTATTTGTGTATCTTGCAAGTCACCTCACTGCAAAAAAAGCAAATTCTGCTGTCAGAGCCTGCTCCAGTGAGAGATGAGTGTGTTTAAATAGTGGGACGGGTGGAATGATTGAGAAATAGACTGAAGGG